AGGGAAGATGGGAGAAAAGTTGGCAGTGAGACCCTTTAATGCTGTTGTGGCATTTTATCTGTACGTTCACTTTATCCTCCATCCAAACTTCAGGACTGTGGATCTAGCAGCTGATGGTTTTTTTCTTTCTTTTATGAACTGTGCTGGGTTTCGATGCGGACATACATTAATGTAAACATGTGCATCAGTATCTCTTGGGATTGTGTTTGGTGTCTAAGCCCCAGAGTTGCTCCTGGTTAATGTAGTTCCTTGTATGGTAACTCACCACCCTCGGTGTGTGTGAATGGGTAAATAAAAGATATATTATAAAGTGCTGTGGATAAAAACACTACAAATACATCCCATTTACTAAATCAAACACTTTCTGCCTTTGTTATTTTTTGATATAATCTCACTGTTGAGTGAAAGGAAGAAAAAGCAAAGATCAGCTGCGTGGTATGAACTCAATACCGACCGTATCACATTAAATAATTAAAAATGTCAAAATTTCAAAAGGAAGTTGCCAACTAGAGTTTGGCATGGAAAAGAAAATGGTGTTGTGTATTATTTTTTCTTCTTCTTCTTCTTAACATCAGCAGCATTTCCTCCCAGCATAGTTCTCGTCTCAGATGGATCCAAGTTTATTTAGAAAGCCTTGTCTATTTATTTTGTTTCCTGAATGATAATGTGACATGAATAATTGACAGCATAGGACCGAGGCTGCTGGATGCTGATGATGAGGAAAACTGCACTTTAATCCTGTCTTATAGAAACGCCCCCTGCTGCCTTCATAACACAGGAATATAATAATAAAAATGCATGTATAAAGAAAAATCACATTTGGTTATTATTTCTCCGACTGGAGGAAATGAAATTCAAACACAGCCAATTTAAAAACAAATAAAAGCAGACATCTTGAAGGAACAGGAGAGATATTTCTTTGGTTGTAAGACCCCCTACTGGGTCTCGACGGCGAACAGAAATCTGAAATGCTGCAGCGTCAAAGTGTGATAAAGGTTCATGATATCAGTGGCTAAGGCTACAGCCCACACAGCTCATTATTTTTAATTAGCCCCACCTTTTCAGTACATGCATTTCATGATACCACTGCGCTGTGTCATTAACCATTCAATACTCAGCCTTAAACCCAATCACATGTCTGATGTGGTGTTTTTCTCATCAAATTATGTAACTGTGCAGCCGAGAAGCACAGGCTCGAGACTTTGTTAATTTCTTTGTCGGGTTCACTTTCCCTTTATAGTTCTGCTGGACGAGAAGCTTCATGTCTGGGTGCTAATTGATCAGATGCATACTTTGTGGGTTGTCATTTAGCACCAACTTTGTTTGCCCTATTTTTTTTTTTTTTGCATTACTGTATAATTTTCTTGAATTAGCCTATAAAGCTCATATCTTTTCTGTGACTTATTTACTATGGTGCGTCCATGTATTTTACATGTGAAGAACCTGTGATCACCAGTGAAGGCAGTGACTCAAAGTGTCCTATTTTGACAGCTGAGACTTGCCTTTACAACCGCAGCTACATGGTTTTACTTTTTGCCCTCCTCCCGGGGTTCCCATCATTCAATATTCACAACGAGGCTTGTTTATTTCAGCCTGCAATACATACTGTATAATAGAGTCAGCTTCTAAATAGATTGAAACAGGATGCGTCTTAGAGCAGCGACATAACAACACAGACACAGAGACGTTGTTTTAATTTCAAACGGAACGCCGTTTCTTGCAACACTAAAATTTCGTTTTATTTAAAGCTGTTTTAGCTTCAAACACTTGAGTCGTGGCTTTGAGCAAATAGCGTGTGTTGTTATTTTATTACTTTAAAACTCATTTTGCTGTACGATAATAGCACCGGGCTTCCTCCTGACTCAGGATGGGCCTTTGGAGGATGACTACATGTGACAGGAGGCGTTGTTGGTCCACTTACAGTAAAGGCCTGTGTTACATTATGTGTTACAAATCTATGCAATTTGCTGTTTTCCTGAGCATTTAATAAACAAAGATTGTTTGATTAAATGAAATCCCAATTAACAAAACTGGTATCTATTTTCGCATTTGCATTTTTTACTCTAAATACTAAGATAATTGATTCATAGATAAAATATAGCTGTTACTACCGTATTTTCCGGACTATAAGTCGCTCCGGAGTACAAGTCGCACCAGCCATAAAATGCATAATAAAGAAGGAAAAAACATATATAAGTCGCATTTTGGGGGGAAATTTATTTGATAAAATCCAACACCAAGAACAGACATGTCATCTTGAAAGGCAATTTAAAATAAAAATAGAATAGAGGCAACAACAGGCTGAATAATTGTACGGTATGCTTATGTTACATGACACAACTGAGAACGTGCCTGGTATGCTAACATAACATATTAAGAGTTATTCAGATAACTATAGCATAAATAACATGCTCAGAAGTTTACCAAACCATCCGTGTCACTCCAAATAACTAAAATCCAATAAAATCTTCATCCTCGGTGTCACTTTTAAACAACTCCGCTAACTCCGGAGGTAGAAGATGCGGCGCTTCCTCTTCTACGTCGCTTACATCAGACTCATCGTCAGTTGCAATTCCAGTTATTCCAGCCTTTCTGAATCCTGTCACCGAAGCCCATCCTTTGTCGATCCATCCAACGACTTCCAGGAAAGTTGCACGGCGCGTTCACCCGGCAGCACGGTGTTGAAGCACCGATGTGCGAACTCGTTCCTCTAGCTGTGGCCAACTAGCTTTAATAATTTCACACATAAGTCACTCCAGAGTATAAGTCGCACCCCCGGCCAAACTATGAAAAAAAACGCGACTTATAGTCCCGGAAAATATGGTAATCTGATTACTGTGTATGTGAAGTTCTTTTTTTTAGACAAACGTCTGCCATATTAATGTCATAGAATCATGGTTGCTCCTGTTTCTTTACCTCGGCCCGTATGTTGTAATAAACCCTTCAAAGCTACAGTACAATCACAATGAAGACATAAAATAAGTTAGTTTATCTCTGGTCTGATGATTTGATAACTGTGGAGTTATCATGAGGAACTGTTGCATGGCGCGTTACCCTTGACTGGAGGTCAACTCGTCCAGTTAATCTCGGCGTCAACACCAGTCAACAACTCGAGCTGCAGGAAGTCTGGTGTTGAGCGCCGACATGCAGCAGCTCTGTGCAGATCATATAAACGACGCGTTAACCCTTTAAGTGGTCAGAGATACTCCTGTTCGACACAACAACATATAGCTCTTATTGATAGTACGGTTACGTCAAATCAGGAAGTGGCACCAATAGTAATTGAAAAAAATACAACATAACAAGATTCAAAACCTGATAAATCACCAATCAGTGCTGCAAACGTCTGCTGGAACCAGAACATGAAGCGCTTCAGAGCTAATATTCCAGAACTACAAACAGATCGACAAAGCTGAAGATTCATGTCAGCTTCTCTCTCGATCGCCTCTTTCAGCTTGTTCCCTCCTGAAATCATGTCCAAAGTCGTCCTTCCTGTATTTGTCACTTTTAAATATTACCAGTTACTATTTTCAGTCTAAACAGAAGTGTACGATGTCCTCTGCCCGTTGAGAAGTGCTTTTAATTACATCCCTTTTGACAACATTGCAGTGCCTTTTGAGGAATGCTGCTTCTATTGTTTTTAAAGTTGGTTCAAGGGGTTTATTACTGTCAGAAGTACATTTGTTGACTAAACTTAGTCCCCGCATTAGCATGGGGAATTGTTGACTTTGTAAAAGCTCTTGTAGCTGCAGAATTACAAATGCCAGGAGGCACTTGAATTCCCTTCAAGCCACCTCTAGACAAATAGAAGAGAACTGACAAAGACCTCCACAAAAACCAACAGGCCTCCCACACATACAAACAGCAAAATCACAAACAAGCGTTGGAAAGCGTCCCAATGGGACGATCAAGGAGAGGTTTAAACATATTCCTGTGCAGTGGATTCCTAAAATATAGCTGCCAGATTCCCCCCACAGTTTAAGAAAACAAATGTCTCGGCAACTGTTGCACCAGATCGTGTGTTTTACCCAGAAACGAGGAGGCGTTACTACATCCGGGTCTCTTTGTTCAGATATCACATGTGGTTCCTTCACACATACTTCATTTCTGGAGGATTAAAGATAAAAAGAGTCAATTCAAATACTGTCATTTTGGCAAATGCATGTTTCTAATCGGGAATTAGGGCCTTAATAATAACATGGATGTGATGAGCGTTTTCTTCTGCTGCTAAATCTTACAGACGTTCGGTTCAAACATGCAAATAAGGGGCAGATGGAATTAGCCAAGAAGTGTGTGGGGGATGAGGGATGTGTCGCTAGGGGTCGACGCCTTTTGTGGAACATAAGTCCCATTTATCCCAAATTAGGACGGGTGCGGCACTGGTTCACTTTGATGTTCCTCTTGGCGGGGGCCGGGGTGGAGTGCAGAGGGGGGGGAGGCGGGGCAGATTGCTCGAGCACAAACAGATGTTCAAGGCTCATCCTTTGAGGTGGTGATGAAACATAGCCACAGCAAGAGTTTTTACATCCCACTGTCAGTCGGGTTGACACAGAGACAAGGGCAGGGCTGCAGTTGCCACTCTAATGGTGCCGCGAATGGGCTTCGATAGCAGCAGCAGCAGCAGCAGATGAAGCGTTTTGACCCACATGTGCGCTAAGTTGAAGGCTTTGGTGCATTGCAATGGAAACAAGGGGAAGAAAATCCCATCTAATAATTTCATGGATGTTTTTTTTAAGAACTCAATACGGCATCGCAGCTTGGTGTAAGATATTTAATCAGACTCAGAAGTTGTTGTACACCAATATCAGAAAGGGTTTTAGATCATAAATTACCCAAAGAGCGCAGCAGACAGCTGCATTTATTAAACATATGTCTTCTCCACTCGGCTTGTCGGGATGACAGGTTGTCGTACCGACGTCTTATCAAGGTCAAAGTGTTACAAGAATATTTTCTGCTTCGCACCTCATCTAACTGGGTCAATTTCATCTCTGTGACTTCAGGAATACGACGACGGCTACGGAACGGCTTACGATGACCAAGGATATGAATCTTACGACAACAACTACACTAACCAAGGACAAAAGTAAGTTCTGCTTTTTGCCCCCAACAGTTCTAACCTCACCTTTTTTTGTGTGTTTCTGCGATACACAACTTTGCACAAGGTGTGATGGATAAAGCAGGGAGGTCTTATTTCAGATAGATTCACTTCTGACACACTATAGTTTGTTTGTTCCTTGTTGCCTCCTGAATTAGCCCCAAAACTACAGAGCAAAAACAACTTGCTTTATCTCAGGGGGAAAAAAGATCAAGGTTATATAGACTAATATTGTGGAGGTCTACCCTGTGCCACCAAAACAGTTCTGACTCTGGGGCATTAACACGGTATCTGTGGGTGTCCTGTGGTGTCTGGCACCGGGTGGTTGGCAGCAGCTCCTTTGGATCCTGTGGGTTGTAGGATGGGGCCTCTGTGGATCAGGCCTGTCCTGGCCTAGCTTGTGAGTGATCGATTGGATAAGGATCTTGGGAGTTCAGCCATCACCTCAGGCGTTTCTCTGGGCACATTTTTTTTTTTTTCTTTTTCATAGGAAGACAGACACTAGAGCTCTCATCTTGTGACTGACTTAAAATTCAAGCTGCATTCATCGGTATTTCTAGATTATTTTTAATGTGAAAGGTGAAGAAAACACCCAGGAATACCACACAACTCTGGAGTTCCCCAAAGATCTGTAGAGCGTTTTAGTGTGTTTCATTGTTTTGGTTGTGCAGCCAGCAACTCTACTCTTATGGTTCACTCTCACTGTTTCCATCAACCTACTTTCCAGCTGCAGAAAGCTGCAAAAATGCAAGAAAAGAAAAGCCACAGTCGACCAGTACCACGTGACATGCACATGATGTCAGCTATTTGCCAGCCAGCTTACGTTAGAGGAACATTTAGCAGCTAAAGAACCAGATAATTTAGTCAGTTATTGGTTAGAGCCAAAACAGAAATAAAAGAAGAATACATGTACATAAACACAGTTGTAAATCCCTGATAATTCTTGTGTTAATAAGCAAATGTTTACAATGTTTGACACACCTGCTGTGACCTACATTGCACATACAGGAGCTATGGTTGCAAACGTGTGCAATGTTCATACACTGATAGACGTTACATTTACCCTTAGCTCTATTACAAACAATAGAAACACATAGAAAGCAGTAATATTGATATCATTATATCAATGGGAACATCCTAAAATGACAGGAACACGTCTTTACATACGACAGTGGAGTTCAACGGCACCACGAGCTAAATTCTTACAACAAAGTGGAATCAGTACTCTAATGTTCAGGTTCTCTATCAGACATGTAGAGTGTGGTTTTTTATTACCTGACAGTTTCGGCGACAACGCTCGCCTTCTTCAGAGAGTGACGTGTCAGCCGGCACCTGCGGCACGCCCAGCAGAGTCGCCAGATCCGCCGGGCAAGCCACGCCCACACCGAAATGGTGTGTCGTGGCGAGCCCAGGTAATAAAAAACCACACTCTACATGTCTGAATAGAGAACCTGAACATTAGATTATCACTAAGAAGACATGATGAACGTTTTCGAGCTATATGGAATCAGTACCTTTCTTCAAAAAGTGGCAAGAAAGACTAAAGATTCAAACTTTAACGCAGGTGGGATGTGTAGCTGGACTGTTGTGTTAGACTTTAGTGTAGTTGCAGTATAGGGAGTAGAAAACATTAAAGATAGGTTACCATGTTAGGGTGAAAAAGCATCAAAATGCTGGTGATCTCAACAGCCCCGATTTACTGAATTAAAAACCTGAACGTGCAGCGAGTTGGTGTTTATGTCTCTCAAAGTACATGAGCGGCGTCTGAGGGCAGCGAGTCTGCTGCGGTCCGGGCGTTTGGCCTTGAGTTAATGTTAAGAGAATATGAGATTTTGAAGTGCAGCAAGTCGGCAACAGCTGGATTATGGTGCGCGAGCTTTTAGAAGTCATTTATGCTCATTTTCCAGCCTGTTTGAAACTCAACAGAACACTTGCAGTTAATGACCTATTTTGTGAAGTGTGAAATGTTGTAACTGACCTATGAGTTGTCCTTTAGGATTAACTCAGAAATTTAACTTTGACGTCTTCAGTGTTGTCGTTTCCTTTAAGGAGAGGAACAATCATGCAGGTGTGGAAGGTTTGAAAAGGCTCAAGTCTGGTAACTACTAAGAGGCCAATCTTTGAATCTAAGGTTTAAAAATAAACCTCTCTCCTCAGACTCTGACATAATCACAGTTTCCGTCGAGAGATTAATTGCAGCTCGTTGTATTTTATTATATGATATTTGTTTGACTCAACCTCAGATATATCAAGCTGAAGGTACAACGTGTCTCTCTTGCCATTGTCTTCGTGGTGTGCTGCTCCGTTTAACAGAGGGTCCTGCACAGCTAAATGCAGAATATTGATTTTCTTATATCCAGGCGGCTATCACACTCTCCAAGCCATGCAAGGTCAAAGGCTTTCCGTTTGTTCTCGGACTGTATTTTATCAGCACACAACGTGCTACGTTTATGTATGCCTGCTTGTGCCGCCTCAAACAAAGAATGATTGTTGCCACATTTAGGGTGTCAAAAATTGGATTGAATTGGCAGCAGCTGGACCAAAAAAAAAAA